ACCTTATTCTCTTCACCAAGAGATACAAGGTGCCGCAATGGATCCCCCCGAAAATTAACAAAACCAGGCTGACCCCGAAAACACAAGTCAAATACCTCGGCATTGTACTTGACAGCAAGCTGACGTGGAGAGCCAATGTAGTAGAGAGGGTAAAAAAGGCCACCATAGCGCTATATGCATTCAAGAAGATGCTTAGCAGCACATGGGGCCTCTCACCCGCTCTAACGCATTGGGTCCACATATCGGTGGTGCGTCCGACTCTGCTATATGGAGTCTTAGTGTGGTGGCAAGCTACGGAGAAGAAAACGTATAATAAGCTTATGGCGGCAGGCACTGCTCTGCATATCAGGGGCGCTGAGGTCAACCCCCACCAAAGAACTCGAAACCATAATCGGTATATATCCCCTAGATATCCAAGCGCAACTGACAGCAGAAAAGGCGGCACAACGTCTGGTTGCATCAGGAAACTGGTCGCTACAAGGTTTCGGGCACAGTTCAATTGGTCGAGACATGAGAAGTACCCAGAACGTGCCCGGATGTAGACACAACGGTATTCATGGGACCAAATGACTGGAAGTCAAGCCATGGCCATGCTCAATACCTCAATATATACACCGACGGCTCCAAGATGGAAGGAGGAGTTGGAGCGGGCATATACTGTTCAGACCCTGAAATGAGGCTGTCGTATAAGCTACCAAGCTACTGCAGTATATTCCAGGTGGAAGTATTCGCCATCAGAAAAGCAGCAGAGCTTGCGCAGAGCATAAACCGTCCACATGAGGCGGACAATTTGTTCGTAGACAGTCAAGCGGCGATAAGATCCATGCAATCATCAGCGGTCAGTTCCAAAAATGTACTGGCAAGCAGAGAGTCACTAGATAGCCTAAGCACGTGTTCAAACATGAACACGGTTATAGATAAGAAGCATCTGTTAGCGATTAAGTCCCAGCAGCAGAGCACTTGTATGTGCATATCTATCTATTAATACAACCGCCACTTGGGCCTATGTAATACAAGCAACCCGAAATATGACCTCCTGTGAGCGGTCTGGGTTTGTTCAAGATATGTGTATGCACCCTTATCTCACTTAAAATATTTCTCACGATCGGGAACTGTCCGATGCGTGGGTCTAGAACTAAGATCTACAATGTACATTCTCATGTTAGCTATAAAAGCTAGGGTTTGAATGAAATAAAATCAGTTTCTTACAAAAACTCAGCATATGAAGACTTCTCATTTATTTGGGGGTCTTTCAGCACGACTAAATCAGTGATGATCTACTGGGTTCCCAGCCACCAAGGCATAAACGGTAACGAAACCGCGGACGAGCTTGCAAAGGAAGGCGTTGGACTGGCAAGTGAAAGAACAGAAAACGTCCCTATCTCCCTAAGAACGTTCCAAAGCGAGCTAGAGAGACGGACTGACGCAAGCGCAAAAAGCAGGTGGAGGAGTAATTCCGCAACCTGCAGAATATCAAAAATCATGTGCAAAGAACACAACGAGAAACTCACCCACTACGTGCTGCATCTTCCGCGGAAGAACTGCAAATGTTAGTGGGTATTCTAACAGGTCACTGCCTGCTGCACATGCAGTCAAGCTGGGTATCACCGACAACGCGAGGCAATCGAAACCTTGGAGCATCTCATTTGCAAATGTCCGGCCCTAACGAGGGCAACAATAAGATACTTAGGCTCTCCAGTTCTGGCATCGCTAAAAGATGCCTCCAGGAGAAAGTCAGACGAACTCCTTGCCTTTGCGAAAAACACCTTGATATTCAAGGATCTCGAAACCCGCATAAATAGTCTCTAGGTCCATCCAGGAGTTTCCCCGGATAGCTATGGGCCATATTGGCCTATGTGTGTCCCCTCGAGGGCCGTCCGGTTTAACCTAACCTAACCTAACCTGGTTTTTAGGCGACCTTTCCTTTATTTATGTGCTCTTGAGCCAGCTTATGGTCAAAATAACAACATTAGGATTTTAACTTCAGACAAAGGAAATAAAACGGTAGCAATGGAAATGGACGACAACAACAGGAAAATTAAGGATATCCTGGACGATTTAAGAACTTACAAGACATTAAGGAAGGACCCAACATCAAAATTGCAATCGAAAAACAACGAAATAAAAGAAAAACTCCTCAAAATAAGAATTATTACAAAAACGGAAAAACAAGAACTACCTACGACGACGGAAACTTTACCACGAATATATGGACTCCCTAAAGTACACAACGAAGGAACACCTCTACGATCTGGCATTAGAAACTATAAGAGAACAAGAAAGGAAGCTAACTTCGGCACGCCGAAGTTTGTATACCCTTGCAGATATTATTTCATTAAATTTTACCTATACTTATTATGTTTACAGTTTGACAGTTACAGTTTTGCATTTCCAGCTTTACATTTTCCCTACATTTACCGATCGCTTCTATGGCAGCTATAAGATATAGTTGTCCGATTTTTATCAAATTTATACAAAAATTCTAGAATAATAAAATAAGCTTATGTCCCGGAGTAAATCAAAATACGTTGGAAAACAACGGAGTTATAATTTTTTTTCTATTAATTTCCCGATTGTTCCTATGGCAGCTATAAGATATAGTCGTCCGATTTTCTTGAAATTTTTATCGAAATTCTGAAATAATATAAAATGGTCATATCTAAAAAATGGTGTAAAAATGTTGAAAAACAGCAAAGTTATAATTATTTTTCTAAAAATATATCGAACATTTGTATGGCAGCTATATGATATAGTCATCCGATCCGGCCCGTTCCGACATATATAGCAGTGAGAGTATATAGAAGACTATATGCAAAGTTTCATTCAGATAGCTTTAAAACTGAGGGACTAGTTTGCGTAGAAACGGACAGACGGACAGACTGACAGACGGACAGACGGACGGATAGACGGACATGGCTAGATCGACTCGGCTTTTGATGCTGATCAAGAATATATATACTTTATAGGGTCGGAAACGTCTCCTTCACTGCGTTGCAAACTTCTGACTGAAATTATAGTACCCTGCAAGGGTATAACAAGAAGCTTCCTTTCTTCGGCACTACGAAGTTTGTATACCTTTGCAGATTACAATTGGATCATTAAGAATCGAGCCAATCTGGTTAAATAATTTAAGAACAAAATAAAAGAAAGAATTTAAAAGTTGTATACTTACAGTTTTACATTCCTAGATTTACATTTTCTCTACATTTACCGATCCCTTCTTTGGCAGCTATATGATATACAGGCCTGTTCTAGTTTGCACTCGGACATGAACTTGATAACATTTGCGGATTTCCCTTTAACATAAGCGAATTTCCCTTGCTGATTTAAAATTTTTTTTTTATTTCCCTTAAATTCCCAAACAAAATCAGCTGGTCGCCTTCAACAAAAGAGATTCCCTTGTCTAAGATTTGCTAAAAGGGGCTGATCAAATTTTGGCCCGCTGTAGTCTCCAACTCATAGATAGTAATGAAGAACTAATTAAATAATAAAATCTAAAGAATACGCATTTATAACAGGAAAAAAACATTTTGAAATATTTGTAATTGCAATCAGTTGTTCTAGTGGCAAAATGCTCGAGAGTAGAGTTGCCGCCGGCTTAGAAAAAATTCCCTTCGCATAACATTTAGTTCAGTTTGTAGATTGAATTGACTGGTATTTTAAACAAAAACACTTCTTCATATACTTTACTCTAATATCAGATCTTTTAATTGTAAAACAACATAAACAGTAATTGTTAAAAATTAATCTTAAATATATGCCTTATTTTGAAACGCTGACAGCCCTTAATACGGTCTTCCCACACAGCGCATCTGTGAGGAACGGTTGGGATTTTTCGCAGATGCGAAACTCGTGTTCCCACAGAGCTGCGTCAAAGTGCATCCGAACAGCTGATCGATCTGCTGTGGCTCATGAAAACGTAAACAAAGGCTGTCGAATTGGCAGTTGCAAATTTGAAATGGAGCATTTACCAACTATTTTGTAATAGGGTCTTCCCACACAACGTTAAAGCACATTCAACATCCGTTGAACAAACGGTCCATAAGGTTTTGCCGTTCCGACTTTTCCCAAATGGATCGCCGTAAGATCAACATTAAAATCTAAACACGGTTTGCTTGGCGATAGTTAGGCGATAGTTTTTCGGTGCAACTCTGATTCTTCTTCTTAATTTGACCATTCACGACGATAATGTAAACAAATTTGGCGAGGAACAAATGAGATATGGAATTTAAAATGTGGCGCCAAAGCTACAAGCATGCCCAAAATAGTTGTTAGCGTTTTTTCTGTATATTCTTGGCCCAATATGTACCCAAATGTTACTATTTAATATAAACCGCCTGCCCCTACCTTATTTTAATGATTTTGGATGCCTATACCACCTATAGACACTCTTCGGGGAATTTGCTCTTTGTTAGAGAAAAATCCTTAGAAAAACTAAAATTCCTTGTCATTTAATTCATTTAAATTTAGTGCGGATAAATTCTGACGCAATCTGTGCCTTTTCCTGTTGTACAACAGCCAAAATAGTTGGTAAATGCTCCATTTCAAATTTGCAACTGCCAATTCGACAGCCTTTGTTTACGTTTTCATGAGCCATAGCTGATCGATCAGCTGTTCGGATGTTGAATGTGTTTTGACGTTGTGTGGGAACACGAGTTTCACATTTGTTAAAAATCCCAAACGTTCCTCACATATGTGCTGTGTGGGAAGACAGTATAAAGTCAATTTTGTAGCTAAAATTCCATATGACTTCACCTTAAGTGCATTTAGCAATACCACTTTGTCGTCGCGTGAAGAAAAATTTCGACGCTAAAAATATGCTTTTTTTTCAAAGATTTTCCCTCCATATATCCGTAAAAATTATTTGATTGTAATATTTTTATTTTACATTTTTGTGACGTATCTTTTGTCCTTTGTTAATACCCGATAAATCTAGTCATCAGAAAAGCGATAACAATCGAATGCAGGTGGATGCTGTCAAATGTAAAAGAGCTTTGCACATTTTTAGAAAATCCTTGATCTAGCTTTAAAAAGGCTAAACGGGTATCTCTTTTCCGTTCGATAAATTCATAAATTAATGCCACAGAATGGACTTATTACGGAATGTTGATAATAAGGAAATTTTTACTGAGGTGAACATTAAAAAAATATATAAATGCAAAATGAAAAAATATTTCTTAAAAGGTTCTCCATTTAGCCATAGATTACCTAATTGGAAATATTAATGAAGCTCAAACTATTCGGTTGTCTCACAAGTATGGATTTAAGAATTCGGATGATTTTCTACTTTCCATTCGAATCATATCAAAATATTATGAAAATTTCGCCATAGAAACTACAAGTGAAAATTTATCAAAGTTTTCTTGCATTAATCCTGAAATGAGCCGACTAGTGACGACGGTCCTCGCAGCACGTCAGCCTGAAGTAACAAAGCATGTTGGGCAATTGGAGTACATGAAATCCACAAATTTCTTGGAGTCGTTTGTGTGGGACACACGTCTAATATTGGGAGATAGCAATCTAGGCGGAAATATTTATCAAATAACCACTATTGGTTTGAGCTACCGTCACTCTAATATGCAGAATAAACTGTTATTTGAAATGAATTATAAGATACTCTGTGATCTTATATGTCTGTTAGAGAATTCTTTGGCTTAAGAAAAACCAGCTTATTTTAACAATGCGTATTGATTTTTAGGCATTAAAGTATCACGTTCACATATTCCAATTTAAGCATATGGGATAATATTTTCGTTTGGGGTAAAATTACATCAAAAAGTAAGTACAAATTGTTGTTTACCTGTAAAGTGATAACGGATAAACATTTTTATGTATTTTGTTTTGTGGCAAAACTGCTAAAGTAAGCACAAAAAATTAAATACCATAAATTAACCCATTAACAATACTTTTGTTAAAAGTTTTTTTATTTAAAAATATTTAAAGGTGCATGAGTTATAGCAAAGAGTATAGTTCTATACTCTTTGATTTAATGAAAAGTCTATATTACCTATCGTAGTCTCCGAATGTACTCCTGACCTGGCTGATGTTGATACCGAATTGCATGGACCATGCGAACATAATAAGACCCAGTTCCTCTCTCTGTCCGGAAGAAAAATGGAACAGACCGTCTCTGAGTTGATTATCGGGAGCTTAATGCTAATACTGTTTCCGACAAGTACCCATTGCCACTCATATCGGACCAGATAGCTGGGTTGAGTGGTGCTAGTTTTTTCACGTGTATTGATATGGCCAGTGGCTTCCATCAGATCCCAATACATCCAAATTCTATTGAACGGACACCTTTTGTAACCCCAGGAGGCAGTACGAATACTTGGTTATGCCCTTTGGGCTTAGGAATGCGCCTTCTGTATTCCAAAGGGCTTGCCCTAGGTGATCTGACTTATAAATATGCCATTGTCTATATGGACGACGTAATGATAGTTGCAAGAACTAAGGAAGAAGCTTTTGAAAGAGTACATATCACCTTTCAAACACTAGCCGAAGCAGGATATTCTTTCAACATAAAGAAATGTTCTTTTCTCAAATCGTGTGTCGAATTCTTAGGTTTCGAAGAGCAGGTGAAATTCGACCGAACCGCAGGAAGATACAAGCTATCGTAGATTTACCGCCTCCGCAATCCGTCACCCAACTGAGACAATTTATTGGACTGGTCTCGTATTTTCGTTAGTTTGTATCCGAGTTTTCACAGTTGCTCTACGCTCTAACTTCAAAAAGTATGTCATTTTTAAGGGAAATACAACACTAGCAAATACGACAGAAAGTAATTTCTGTCCTGACCATGATAGAATTATACAAGGTAGTCCCGTCGGCAACATCTGCTACACTACAACTTATAACAATGAGTGCGAGTGAGAGCAGTTCAGACAAATGAGTGCGAGTGGGACGACAATAGAGTGTGAGTTTTAACCCTTAGGTTTCGGATGAGGGTTGAAGTCGCTTTCTATAATAAAAATATATGAATATTTTGTAATATTATTTTATATTTAATAATTCTGTAATAAAACGAGTTGGAATATTTTTAGTAATTTTATTTTTAATAATTATACAATAAAACGAGTTTTAATTAAAAATTTCACGCCGTGCACATGCCGTCGGCAACAGTTGCAAAAAGTCATTTCCAACTAAGGGTTAAAAACTCGAAAAAAATGCGTCCGCACACAACCTTTCCCTTCAACAAGCGAGCACGCACTGAAAATCCGAACGATTTCAGCAGCCGACGGGACTACCTTGTATAATTGTATCATGGTCCTGACTAGTGAACCCATACTGACTATCTTCGCAATTTTGTTGCATAAAATCAAACGCAAGCCACAAGTTATCGAATAGTAAACGGACCTGGCCAGCGGAATCTCGCTAGAAACACTTGCCGTTTACAATTCCATTAAGCATTTTCGCCATTACTTACATGATCGACATTTCAATGTGTTTACTGACTGTAATTCGCTCAAAGCCTCTCGCACAAAATTAGAACTAACTCATAAGGTTCATAGGTGGTGGTCGTACATGCAATCTTTTGATTTTGATATTCAGTATAGGCCAGGTGGAAAAATGGCTCACGTAGATTTTCTGTCCCAAAATCCGATATCAAAAGATCGCATCAAGTCAAAGAGTATAGTGGAAAAACATAAATTTGACAGAAGTCACTGAAATTGGTTATTGGCTGAGAAGCAACGCGACGAAGAAACGTCATCTATTATTTATAAATTGCGTAACGATGATCTTTCTGTCGATTTGGCCAAAACGTATGAATTAAGGGCAGGAACACTGTATAGGAAAATTCAAAGAACTGGGAAAACACGTTGACTTCCTATCATTCCAAAGCCGTTTAGGTAAATAATGTGCACGAGTCTATTATGAACCTTGGTTGGGAGAAAACCCTTGAGAAAATGTAGGAGTACTATTGGATTGACAAGATGTCTAAGTATGTTCGCAAATTCGTCGACAACTGTATTACAAGTCTGCATGTCAAAGCTCCCATCTGGCAAGGTACAAGCCGATTTGCATCCCATGCCGTGGCACACGATTCACATGAATATTACAGGGAAGCGTAGTGGTAAAAATGATCAGAAGGAATATATAATCGTGTCGATAAACACGATCACGAAGTTTGTTTCCTTGTCACATACATGAAGGAAATACGCAAGGCGCAGAGAAACTCATGGAGAAACTTCTGCTCCAATATAGAAACTGCCCCGGAAACGGTTAGACTTCGGAAGCTGCTATCGAAGCAGCCAACCATACAGAGTCAGCTCAAACGCGACGACGGACAGTGGACTGAGGGCAGCGAAGAGGCCCTAACAGCACTAAGGCATGCGCATTTCCCAGGATGCACTGAGGTACCCGATGCAAATAAGCACCAGGACCTAGCAACTGGAAAAGAGCATCTCCCAAAAGATCTAATATCCTCTAGTAGAATCCACTGGACTATAGACTCCTTTGCGAGGATAAAAGCACCAGAACTAGATGGAATATTCCCAGCCATGCTGCAGGCGAAGAAGGGGAGGGTTCAGATGATCACAATCACGTCAATTTCTTTTTTGACCATTTTATTGTGAGTGTAATTTCCGATAATCTTCAAAGATTTTGAACCATCAAAAAATATTTAATAGACAAAATACTTAAATTATTATGAAAACATCAGCTCTCAAAATCACTTCGGAAAACCGTATATATTTCACTGATCATATCACTTGCAACAGTGCTACGACCTAACTTTTGAAATGTGGCGTAGTTTAACCGTTTAATGAAATAGCTTGATGCGCACGCAGCAAGATACGCTGGGTTAGGTTGATTTGACTGTAACGACCAATAGAAAAAAGTAGCTAGTGATCCACTAAGTAAGTCTCCTTGACCACCACACCTGCGCCCGGAACCACCAGTAGGCATTATGTAAATTTCGTTGTTTTCAGGAACATAAATTTTATCATTTAAGCCTTTTTCAAGAATCACTATTCCATCTCCAAGGAGTGATATTTTATGTCGTTTAACATCAACTTCTTCTCCGAATAGTCTTCGGAATTCAATGGCATTTGGAGTCAGAATGACATTACTGTGTCCGTATATTAAATCGATATTATCATTAAGAATAAACAATCCGTCAGCATCGATAACAATTGGTTTTTGCGCATTTAGACATAATTTTAGTAAATTGGTAGCTGTCTCTATAATTTTCGGCTCCCGGCCTAATCCAGGTCCAAAAACCTAAAATATACACCAATAGAAACGTATAGGTTATTGTTCATATTCAATACATATGTATGTATTTGTAAATCTGTACTTACTATTATATGTAGTCTTTCTAACCATGGCAAGATCTTATCAACAGCATCATCGCAATCTAGTACTGGATGAACAATAAGATCTGGGCTGTAAGTTTTAATGGCTGCTGACGCATTGGAGTGACAGAACACATGCGCCAAATCAGCACCAACTTTCATTGAAGTAATAGCAGCAAAATAAGGTGCACCAGTATATTCCATAGAACCTCCGATTACTCCAATGCGCCCATTCTGTCCTTTATATTTGGTACTTGTAGATTTTGGAACCACAGTTTTGAACAATGATAATAGCTTTGGAATGTTAACTGGTATTTCTTTTATTGCTGACATGCTGACATTGATATATGTCATAGGGATGTCGGAAATATATCAAAATATCAATATATCGATATTTTTCTCTTAAAAAAATATAATCATCGCGATATTTTTTTTGACAAAAATAGGAGATATTGAAATTTTTTTAGATGATATTTCCGATATTTTAGTTTTGGTCATTCTTAAGCCAGAAAAGGAAAATTATGGAAAAAAGATTTCTATACAGAGATAAAATTAACTTCAGCGAAATGCACATTGTGCCTGAAAGTTATAAAAACTAGTGGAAACTTTAGTAATTTACTGTAACAAATTTAAAAAATAAGCACCAAGATGGACACTCGGTGGAACTCGTGCTTGGATATGCTCAGTGGAGAAGCTGAATATTTCGACGCTTTTCTGCGAATGTATCGTATGTCGAAAAATCCAATTTTACAGGAGAAGCTTTTTTGTGATTTAATCTCTTAGGAAGCACTATAGAAAAGACAAAATTGAAACTTAATTTTTATCGGAACTATAAGGGTTTCAGTTATAATTTTCACAGGGTAGTGAGACATTAGGTGCCTAACAATTTTGCATTAAAATCTCAATTTCGAAAAAAAAGCGACATACGATACTTTCGCGGTGTGCCGCAAGGTTCTGTACTTGGTCCGCTTTTGTTCACCCTTTATGAAAATGATCTTCCCTCCATGTTGTCAAGTTGTGAGGTCCAATTGTACGCAGATGACGTTCAAATGTATGTGAGCCGTCCCCTGAATAGAATAAATGAGGGTGTAGACATATGTAATAATGAACTGGTCAAAATAAGCAACTGGGCATAAGATAATGGACTAGGACTGAATCCGTCAAAATCCAAGTGCATAATTATTTATAAAAAGAAACTCAGTCTTAACATTGAGCCCTAACTCTTGAATGACATTCCTATTGAATACGTGGAAAGAGCTACCAATTTGGGTTTTATTTTTAATAACACGCTGAGCTGGAGTGATCACATTAACACCGCTGTTGGAAAAACGTATGGATTGTTAAGGTCGTTTTATTTGGTTAGAAACTTTCTACCCATAAATGTAAGGGTGATGCTTGCGAAATCTTGTCTGATCCCAACTTTATTTTATGGGATCGAATTATTTGCTAATTGTGACTCAATCAGCCAGCACAAACTTAAAATTGCCTTCAAAAGTATCACAAGATTTGTATTTAATTTGCGGCGATTTGATCACGTGACTAGATTATCATACAAAATATTTGAACTTCACTTGGCAGACTGGATAAAAATGAGAGTGTTAGTTTACTTACAAAAAATAATAAAATAATCCCTGCTTTCAGAACGACAATATTTTATCTATGCTATAAGATTATGTGCTGCGCAGTTTAAGGCAAAACTTATTGCACACTTTCAAGAACAAAATGTGACATAAAATAAAACAAAGCGACCCTAGTTCTTAATTTTAGTATAAGAATAATTCAAACTTTGTAGCTTATAAATATGAACTGAAAATGAATTTGTCCTGTGTGACTAGCGCATTAACTTATAAGGCTGCAAACATAGTGCGCGCTGAGACGAAGACGAAAATGAAAACGAAGCTGCCCTGCAGTACCACATTTCATCAATAGGCCTTTTCATCAACATTTCATCAACGCGCCGACTGCGACGCCGACAGAATCGACGCTCTGCCGACTGCTACTTGAACCCGAACTCCCTTCGGAGACCCGAACTCCCTTCGAGTCCGACTTGTCGGTGCATGCAAAAAAAAAAAACAAAAACAATTTGCATGGAATTCGTTTTTTGAAGTCCGAAACAAAGTAGATGACGCAATTAAAATAGATTCTCGAAGGTTCGACTCCATATTTTCGGAGCAGCGGTTTTCGGGTTCGTCTTGCTTCTTCTTATTCCCTTTGCATTAGAAGTTGAAGTGCTCTGCACTGCAGAAGTGTCGTGTGTTTCATTAATTAATAAATAAATTCTTAAATAAATTCGTTCCGGGCCTTATTGGAATATATAAATAGGTGAGTAAAGTGAAGTGTTTATAATTAAATAAAAGCCTATGTGTATTATTTTATTTATTATATATTATATATTTTTTTTCTTTTCTGACTGCAGTAATGGCCAACATATTGAAACGAGGATCTTTTGGGTAAATTCTATTTAATTTTATTATTATGTATTCCCTTAATTAATTATTATTTTTTTGTAGATGCAATTGCCCAAGTGGATAGAACTGAGCCTCCAGAGAAGTTACTGCGTAAAAAATTTGGTCTACGTCAATAAAAAGCGGAAAACCGAGGAGCAAACAGACCTTGAGGCTTTTCAATATATGGATTTAATGTTAATTGTTTATATTTGTGTCTTAGTGTTGGTTTAGAATTAGTAAGAATAAATAATATCAATAAAATTTCAAGAATTTTACTTTATATATGAAAAAAAAAATCATCAATAATTCATCGATGAATCATCATCATTTCATCAATCAAATGTTGATGAAATGTTGATGAAATACTGATGAAATGTTGATGAAATACTGATGAAATGTTGATGATTTGTTGATGAATCATCAACATTTCATCAGTATTTCATCAACATTTCATCAGTATTTCATCAACATTTTATCAGTATTTCATCAACATTTCATCAACATTTCATCAGTATTTCATCAACATTTCATCAACATTTCATCAGTATTTCATCAACATTTCATCAGTATTTCATCAATAATTCATCGATGAAATGATGCTTAAATGTTGATGAATTGCTGTTGATGACAGCCTATGACATGCCCATGTTAAATTCATCAGTAATTTGTATGGCAATTCATCGATGAATCATCAACAAAACGCTTTGGCTATTGATGAAACGTTGATGAAATGTTGATGAATGGTACTGCAGGGTATTGATGAAACGTTGATGAAATGTTGATGAATGGTACTGCAGGGTGACGACGAAGTGCTTGCGATGCGAGTAAGCTAATAGGTTGCATAGTGCAAGACGAATTTGTTGCGATTTTGTGATGTTCACCCAATTCATTTGGGAAGAAAAGAGTTCGCCGAATTTCATCATTTATTTAATGAGCTGCGACAAGATGAGAAAAAATTTGTGGACTATACCAGAATGAAAATCAGCACATTTGATAACATTCTCTTAAAAATTGAACCGCTAATTATTAAAAATTGGACAAATTTTAATAAAACCCCAATTATACCTGCAGAAAGGTTAATTGTAACGCTAAGGTAAAAATTATTTTAAATTTTCATTTAGTTACATTTTTTATTTTTATTAATTTAAAAAATCTCAAGAAGTTGAAATTTTCCCCTAAAAATTCCAGTTGTTCCCCTAAAATGTAAAAAAAAAGAAGAAAAACAACACAAAATAGCAAGCGATTCGTCTTCAAAAACAGTACTGCTCCGTTTGAAGCTGATCGTTTGCGTTTCGTCTTCATCTTCGTCTTCGTTTCAGCGTGCACTATGTTTGCGGGCGAGCGAATTCATAAGAATTGTTCTGCACTGTTTTTCGTCTTCAGCTTTGTCTTCATTTTCAGTTTCGTCTCAGCGCGCACTATGTTTGTAGCCCAAGTATTTTGTACTTGTAGCGTAAGGAAGAATATCTTAAAATAAATAATAATAATAAATAATAATAGTATGGCTGTCCCATCCGCCGCCTTGAATCTCGCCACTGCTAGATCTAAGTTGCTGAGATTGGGGTAGAGAAGAGCATTATGGTTGTTTTTAATGATTATACCCGCCCTCGGCCTACATGTCGAGTTTGTGTATAATGTTGTATATCCTTTTATGGCCATCCCAGAGATTTGTCCGTCCCTTATCCATGGCTCTTGTATGAGGCCGATGTCGATGTCCTTCTCCCGGATTAGCTGAAGCGTGGGGGCTGCGCTTCAGGTTGATCTGTCGGCATTAGGTTGGGGTGATGTTGGGTGTGCTGTCGTCGATTCCCAAGTCGTCCAGCAGCTTGGCATCCTCGAATTCGTCTTCCAGGATATCGTCCGGTTCGTCTAGGACGATTTTTACTTTGGCCTTCCTAATGCCGTACCGGACTTTATTGTCTGCTGCCTTCAGCTGTTCTAGGCAGCGCTGGTTTATCAAGAACTCATCGTCGCACCTGATTACCCGGTACCCCCTAACCATTTCCGAGGAGTCAAAGGAGGGTGACTGACCCGTTGGCTTGGACAGTATTTTGTCAGTTACCATCTCCGCCAACTGGGTCTCGACCTCCTCCCATTTCTCCATTAGAAGGCGCCCATCGTCATTGAGTTCATCGACAAGTGCCATTGCGAGGCTGTCTCGGGCCACCTCGCTGAACTTCTTCGCCAATTTGACGAAAGTGGTCGGTCTCGGTGCTTTGCGTCCTTGGCTCTCTTCGGAGCACTCTCGCTCACCTCTTGTGAGCGGTTGCGCTTAGTTTGGGGAGGCAAAGACGTCTTTGGGTGCTCTTTTTCGTAGCGCTCGTATTCCTCGATCACTGAAAGAAATCTGGCTTTATCTCCAGCGTCGCGCGGGTCGGTTTTGCCCTCCTTTTCATTCCTCACGATTTTGGCGAGGATGAAATGGGCCTTGCTTGCCTGCGCCTTTCGTTGCTGGTGGGTCCACGGTTTTGTCTTCCCGTGTTCCGTGTTCAGAAATTGGGGACAAGATGAACAAAGTTAGGAGAATAGTGTAGGTCGAGCTCCTAATCTGGCTGAAGGAGCAGATTGGGATTGTGTTAGGCGAAGGTCAAGTGGCAACTTTACCCGTTCCAAAGATAGTGGCTGGCTCTATCATTAGTCTTGGGAAGGTGAAAGTTGGCTGGACTAGGTGTCGCCTCAATATGATAGAATCACCTCGCAGAAGATTCCGGTGCATGGAGCCAGTTCCTTCGACAGGAGCAGCTCCTGCTTCAGGTGTGGCCAGGAGGGCCTGTTTTAGATGCGCCGAATCGAACGGTAGCGACACAAACAACCAGACAGGCATCCGCCACTGCCCCTTGGTCGCTTAGAGCAGTTAAAACCCAAAGGGCATTAACTTGAACCACTGCGCGGCAGCACAGGACTGTTACG